TTGTTATTGTCCAATTTATTAGGCATATACTAACTCTAAATAGAGTCGTACCTTTTGATAAATCAAAACAATAAACAAATTACATCGATCATAACAATTATATCAAGATTAGGAGTATAAGCTCATTTAATGAATTAGAGAAAATGTTTTATATGTATTCAGTACAAAAACATCTTTTCTCTACTTGGTCCGTTCAATATACACTGAGTATACTAGCACAAGAAGTTGGAGTAAACCTACTCCCATAATCAAGACAAATTATACAATAATCTTGTGCTACAATCATCAAGATATTTTGTCCGACAATATCTTCGATTGTGAACATAGTTTATTAATTATGAGAACCAACAATTTAATCTTCTGTGCATGAGCTAAGACTCCATACACTAAATTGTCTACTACATAATTAAAAGGACACACATGTTATAAATGATCTATTTAAAATAGTGCTTTATTGAATTGAATAAATTAAATAAACAATTGTTTCATAAAGAACAAAATATAATATTATGTCTAAACCTGGTTAATAGTATATCCCAACAGTAGAATCCTTTAAACAGAATTTATTTTGATTGTGGTAATGACTGGAATCCTCCCTTTTTCTTTAATTAGATATCTCAAATTTGTATAAAAATTAAAATGAAAATCTTAAATTTGAGCTATAAAAATGATTTTTTAATAGAAAATGTTTAATCTTTCATAGTAGGGGTACTTATTAGGGTACTGATCTCATTTAAATAATCAAAGTTCCAAATTATTTAAATCAACAAGTGTCCGAAGGATGAATATTGTTATTTAAATCTCTCCAACTGTTAAAGAAGGAAACTGTTTCGCATATATATTTTGGCTCCACATGAAATCCTTTAACGTAGCATCAAGTTATCAATAAACTTATTTTGACGTTTTACGTAATTAACGTTAAAACAAGCATTACAACACAGAGGCTGGCACACGATATTTATGGACGAAGTTTTTTCCAATTCTAAGTAAGAATTCCCATGGGCTTTTTTATGATGAGCAAAACATGCTGTTGTAAATTATGAAATGAAATATCCTTCCTATAACAAATTAAGTACGAATTTGGGAAAATTGAGAGAGATAAAATTATGTTATTTAGTGAATATGAACTTTTATATTAGTTCACTTATTGAATTATTTGGAATTTCTTTATTTCCAACACAATAGTAAAGGTGGCTCAAATTTATTAATTTAAATTGCGTTACATATTTTAGTCTTAACATTTATCTTTTTAATGTCAGAATATTTAACTCCCCTAGTGCCGTTCTTTAACCCTTTTTTTGAACTTTTTCTCTTTCTATCCCTCAACGATTGCTTGAATCAGAATACCAGCAAGATTTTGTTTTTTCTTGAAACATGTTTGTTATGTCAGTTAATGATAATGTTTTGTTTCCGCTCTTAATATGGTACTTCTCATTTTAAAACCCGACATTTCTCACTTGGACATAACCTAAATATAGCAATAACAAGTAACATGCATTCAATCTTGTCTATTCCACATAAATATAGTTTACAGTACTTTGGGTCTTAGCTAGGTTTATAAACAAATAGTTTAGCAAACAGGTGTGCTGAAGAAATACTGAATCATTAAGCGCCTTTAGTAGTATCAATTAAACTTGTTGCGGAGTGGTAAGTATTCGTTCTTTATTAGGTGTTAAGATGAACCCTAGATATAAAGTTATTTTGGTTAGGGAATACTTTATGTTTTATATAAAACTTTTCAAACTAAACGCATCCTAATACGAATTTCGAATCGCAAATAAAAAAAACGAAAACACAAAAGATGGTTAGTTAATTTTGTAGGGTTTGGAAAAGAAAGTTAGTGCTATTTTGTCGGCTTCTAAGTTTGCGTGATGTAATCAAAGTTTTGGAAGTCAAGTAAAGGTTAAAAAGGCTTTCATAGCAGAGTTGGTTTCTCGTTTTGTGCAATGGCTTGGAATTGGATTGCGAACTTTGCCCATCACAAATAGCCAGCTGTTAGTTCTCATATGAGTCTCACGTGGGATCCATAAAGGCTCATGGTTAGCTGCCACGTATTGTAGTTAACAAGTGTTCTCATGCATGGCAATGCCCTGATTTTGGACGAACGTGGACAGATATAGAAAAACACAATCTCTGGGACGAATTTTATTCAACGAAATTTATTATTTTTTATTCGAATTATATACTATATATTTATAATAAGGGCACACTAACTCTAAACTTATTATATCTAAATTTTACATCTGCTGTAAACAAACCTAGAATGCGATTAAATTTATTGTTTGCTGATGTACCTAAAACAATATAGAGATAGAAAAGAAACCATATAATGTTAAATTTATTGACTTCAAATTCTGAATCCGTATTTATCTTCGATATTATTTGTTTTCTATAATAATGGTTAGTAGCACTAAAATTAGTTCGCTGAATCAGGCTCTTTTGATTCAATTAGTTTCGATTTAATATTGACTAGTAGGTCCAAAAAGGATTTTTAAAATTAAGAGAGATTAGAGAAACCTTATTAATGTTTCCTGTGTATGCAAAGAATTTAAAGATAGAAATATGGAGAAACCATATTCGTGTATGTTGAACTTTAACTTTAAATTCTGAATTCATATTTATCTTCGATCTTATTTGTTTGTATAGTATTGATTAGTTGCTAAAATTAGTTCTCTGAATTAGGTCTCTTTTGATTCACATAATTTCGATTTAATATTGAGTAGCAGGTCGGAAAAGTATTTTTTAAATTTAGAGAGATTAGAGAAACCTTATCGGTTGAACTTGTACACATGAAGAAACAGAAGCACTTAAATTGGAACTAATATCACTTGAATGATTCGAAAAAAAAAAAAATTTTCATAAAGCAGTATCTTTTGGTAGTAATTAGGCATCTAGATATCATTTGCTATATTACGGATTATAGATACCTTTTGTTAGGTTATAAGATGTATTTGATGTATTTAAGCTATTGTATTCATGAATACAGTAGCAAAAATAGGCGTGAATCAGGTAAGTCCAGCTAATCAGTTATTTTATTCGAGTGTATTCGACTGTATTCATGGAGTGAAGCATGGGATTACAGCTGGACAGATTATTGTATTCAACTGTATTCACAGCGTGAAATAGAGGATTACACGGTTTTTAAAACGCAAAGTGAATCAATTAACATAATAGACTCCTAATATAACTCAACAAACTCAATTATAACACACAAATTTTGTATTTTCAATTATAAAAAAGATTCTCAACCGAAAAATACCCCGAAAACATAGCAATCTTCAGAGAAATTATATAATACATCTGAATACATAAAATATATTAATTAAAAAAAATATATGAATACATTCATGGCGTATAGCGAGACAGTGAATATAATGAAATACATATAATACAGCGGGATACATCGAAATACAATGAAAAAAAAGATAGTGAATACAATGAAATACATGGAATACAACGAGATACGTTGAATTACAATGAAAAAAAAGACAATGAATACATTGAAATATATTAATAGAAAATCAATTAAATACCGAGCAACATACATTGATCTTCCTCAATTTGAATGAGTACTCAGGAAAAAGATGTGATCTTGGACTTGGTATACGGTCTTTATCTGTTGAAAAAGGATAATCTTGAACTGAGGACAGGAAATCAGGAAATATCCTCTCTTTGACATTCAATTGAAAGCTAAAATATCTGAATTCTCTAAGAGGAGGAACCCCGAAACCATCATGAGCTTTCTATTTCTTGGATGTAATAAACCAATTTTTCCCTATCAATTTCTTCGTCGATCTCTTTCTTGTTTGTTTTTCGTTTTACAGTCATCTTCTTTCTCTTCTTCATGCACATCGAATTGCATGCGGCAATTTATACTCCTAAAACCCTTAAATCATAGTAATAGCAACTTCAGAAAAAGTATCATACGATTAATAAAGAAATAGAACGAGGGGATATCACTTGATAATGGAAACTAGAATTGGATCTCTATGGAATATTTCAGTCTTTATTTCAGAATTAGACACAACCATGACCAAAGCGATAAGCACATATATGATATATCCCACCACCAAAATCTGTATCTTATGCTTTGAAGACGAACTCTGTAGGAATTTCCAAAGGAGGAGGAGATCGGAAATTTTAATGGGATGGGGGAAGAGAATGAGATGTATCAAAGTAGAGAGAGAAAGAAAATAGTGTAACTGATTAGCGTATTTAGTGGCTTAGGGCTAGGAGGTAACCAAAATTAAATATTTTGCTATAAACCTTAAAAGGTATCTATAGAATATAATTTTTTTAAATGATATTTATTTAAAATAAATAAGGTGTTAACCATTGCTATAGGAGGTAAAAAAAAAAAAAAAAACAAGTGGTTTGGACCTTTAATCATGAGCTTGGATTAGTGTTGACAGAATGGCCCATGTGGTTGAAAAGGCCCAATTTTGTTAATACTATGATGCCCCTATGCTCTCAAGTCAACAAACAAATATAGAATAAGAAAAATTACGCGACACAACAAATATATACACTGTATTTACTATTAGTAGTTATACTTTCAAAAAATTATAATCCGCAGCTATATTTGAATTGTATAACAAATCCACCTGTAGTACTGAAACAAGAGATCAATTATTTTGAACTGAAACAAGAGAGTAACAAGCTCTTGTAGTCCAGATGGTTAGCGCGCCTACTTAGTAAGCGAAGGTCTTGAAGACGACTCTCAATAAGAGCATTCTATTAATATGTATTTCTGCATTTCGCCTTGATTGTATTCGCTGTGCGAACGACACATGATGTATTCGTTGCGCGTCTAATACAAATATACAAGTTGGTAACAGTCGAACAGTAACTACGAATAATAATTAGACAAATTATAGTTGCGTATGGTAATTAGGCTCTAAACTGTAGTCGCTTTATAAAAAATTCTCTAAAAATATATAAAAGTCCAGATACTGAATTAGCTCAACCAAGTGGTTGAGGAAGGAACTCTTCAGCATCTGTATTTCTAAGTACTTATTTGCACCATTAATTATTTAGGTAAGGTACACAGTTTTGAGAAAACAAATACAGACTCTGCTTACAAGGAGATCTAACATCTTTATATGAGAAAATGAATATACAATACTTAACAATTGTCAACAATTTCTTATAGATGTGGAAATTTTTGGATGCCACTAATCTTGATTCCCAGGAAATATTTTCAACTTAACAAAGTATAATTCAGCAGGAAAGTATATTATCATTCAAAACATTTGTACAGCCCAGCTTTACTTGCAAAAGGATTCACTTTTATTGAAACTTTACAACTATGCAGGAAATATCATCCTTGCTTTTCCTTGAAATAGCTAATTCTGCCAAATGTTTAGCTGCTGCTTTTGCATCTTTCATGTTCTTAATGCAGTCCACTGCCTCTTGGTTGGACATTACCTACAAATAGGTGAAGAAAATATCAATAACTGACTAAGAAGAGTGAACACAACATCCTCCTTAAGATATAATAGCATTTTTTGTTCAGAACAACAGCAACAAACCCGGTGGAATCCCACAAGTGGGGTCTGGGGAGGGTAGTGTATACGCAGACCTTACCCCTACCCTAGGAAGGTAGAGACGGTGTCTTCGAAAGACCTTCGGCTCGAAAAGATGAATAGAAACAAGCAAATATCAACAACGAAGGCCAGAATCTTTGTTCAGCACCCAACATGCAAAAGTTTAAGAGCATCTGATGCACTAAAGGAAGTAATATCTTTATGTGCACCTGAACAAAGGACCCTATCAATGGAAGTATCCTATGTGGTGGAAGTAAAAGGAGGAGCATACACACAACTTCAGCTCTAAGTTCAGAGAACAACACACCTTCCATAGACCATCACTTGCCAAAATGAGCAAATCTACGTCGTTATCTATCAACTCGATTACTACATCTGGATCTGAACTAAGATGTCTCTTCAAGCTCTTGTCTCCAAATGCCCTGGCAACAGCAAGCTGTCCATCAACACGAGGTACATCACCTACAAAAATTCCAAACCATCAGCTTGTGTGAAGCAAGATCATAGAATACAATTGCAAGCTAATCAATGAAAAGAAAAATTAACTTGGTTGATTGTGCACAAAAATTGCACCCATCGAAAATGCAAGATCATAGAATACATTTGCATACTAATGAACGAAAAGAAAATTTAGTAGATTTTGTGCACAAGAATTGCACCGATTGAAAACAAGATCAATTTTCTTGGAAACACTCTTCTATGGTGTCCTTCATATTCTTGAAGCAAAAAGAATACGAATTGAAAGGCGGGAACACACAGAGTTGCCACAGTTATCGATTCATCCCTCTAAAAGCAGAAAGGAGAAAATATTTTTGCTTTTGATTGTTGCAGAAATGAGAAAATACTAAATCGTCATGACCAACAATTGAGATGGATGGCTGACTTTGCGGGTCGCAAGAACTTTGAAGTTTGAGCATAAAGAATAGAGAAACAGACTGAAATGGTCATATATGTAATGGATCACTTTGAGAGAGTGAAATCATCTATGCCACTAAAGCTAAACATGAATCATAAGCACATAAACTACCTGGAAGGTTAGAAACAAAACCGCCTTTGCTTTCAATAATCTCCTTTTCCCTGTTTGGCTCATGATCAACTGATAGCTGCTTGGCAACACTCTTCTTGGATATGACTGCTCGAGAATCTCCCACATTTGCAACTACAAGCGTTTGACCATTAATCAGCATTGCAGTAACTGCAGTTGAACCTCCTTTTCCCAATTGGAATGCTTTTTCCAGAATATCTTTGTCTGTTGTTTGATAAGCTCTACGAGTTGCACTCTTGGCATCAGTCCAAAAGTCATGCTGCTCACAAAAACAGATGATGCATGAGAAAATGATTGATTAAGAACGGGAGTAACATGAGAGAAAATAGTAACATAAATAGCAAGGACCAAGAGGACTTTGCAGGAATGCAAGAAAGAGATTTAGAATAGCCATTCCAATGCGAGCTCTTCTTGTAAATTAAGCATTACCTCTTTCAAAATGTTGCCAAACAAGTGTGTCTGCAAGTAGTTTGCCACATCATGGCCCATATGGCCATCAAAGATAGCAAATAGGCCCAACTCATTGTTATTGACTTGCTTAAACTCACAAACTAAACAATCTTCCATGGCATGATTAGACCTCCCCTTCACCAAGTGGGAGCCATGAGCAATCCGCTTTGATGCTCCACCCTTGCCTCTTATATCTGGTGAGTCTGGCATGGAAGGGATAAAACATGCCCTTTCCTGAGAAAGACATGCAGTAAATACATTAGCATGAGAACAATGATTCCTTGACCATTAGGCCAATTAACTTTCTGTATGAGAGGTCTATAAGTTTGTAGGATTCGAAGGAAGAAAGGCAAACTGGGAAGGCCAAACAACCAAAACCAAGCCATCTATAAATTGCAAAAAGCAGTACCTCATCAAGAAAACAAGATGGCATAGACTAGAAAGCATTTTTAAAGAATTTGTGAGGAAACTTCATTTTCTATTCTTTACTTTTGAAGGAACTGTATTTGCCCAATTTTTAAATAATTCTCAGAAAAATAGCAACCACTGTTCCATGCAAGAACATAGAGAAGTGCAAAAGCAATGTAGAAATCTTTTGTAAGATTGTAGCATGCAATGGTTTTGCAAACGGAACAGTCGTAAATTTTTCCATGAGTAACTACGATTTGAAAGACGTAGAATAAAATCTAATTCATCTAAAACTTCACTGCTTCACCTACCTAGAGTAGTTATTAGAAATCTTGATATTTTTTACAAGCTATGAAGTTATATCCAACGATATCGACTCGTTTGCTATCTTTTAAGACAGTTTAAAGATACAAATAAAGAAAGATATCGAAATTAGAGACATTTTCCAGTGATAAAGAAATCTATGCCTGAAATCACGTTTCCAGTTATAGGCAGTAGTATGGAAGTCAATCTTCTCGTAAGGTGTAGGAATTGATTATTCAGTTGTTATTCATCTTATTAATCTCATTAAAGAAAAGAACACGAGGAAATTCAGAAGTAGTAACCAAAAACAAAGAAAAGCATTAATGATCGTTTTTCTTTAATCGGTGCAAGCATTAATGATTGTTGTACTGATATGAAAGTGATTGTTGTGTAATGCACATTAGAAGAAGATGATTTATCTATCAAATACTCGTGGCAAGGATATAAATTCAATTCCTAGCTGCATAATGACAGAAACAGGACCCCACACATTTCAACATAAGGATTTGCCAAATTGAAAGATCGAGATAGTAAGTCAGAAAACTAGAATGCAGCTAGCACGATTTTTAATGATATTTGACGAATGCAAGTACACACAAAGACCATGAAGAAAAATCTACAATTTGGGTAGCATTAGAATCTCTTAATGTCCTAGATACACCCTATCTGCAAATATCTTAGTGCCGAAAACAACAAACTATGCTCTTCCATGACACCGTACAAGTTCAATGACAGTTTTGTCATATATTTGGTTATTAGGAAGATTGCAGAACACAATCTGGAAATAGCAGCTGAACTCCCACTTTGAACAGCAAAAGACAAAGTTAAGGCGCTTTACTTTGTTCAATCATCCTTCATTCCCAAGCAGCAAAGGAAAGAAATGGAACTCATGAAACCAAAATCGGAGAAAAATGCACTTAGACTTCTCTAAATTTGAGCTGGAACTACCTTGGCCCATTAGATGAGGGTACACTTAGAATACCTGCTCACACATAAACAAACAACATAGGGAAAGAGCTCAATAGCCTCTCTATAGAAAAATTGAAATCCCTCTTATTTCCAATTCTATGCTAAGCTTTCAATCAGATATTAATCATGTCCCCTCGCTTTTTGTTTATTTAGTTTTAGAAATTACAATGCCGAAGAAGCTTCTAACAACACAATCAATCAACAGAGGTGTTCACAATATAATTCACCTCACTGTGAATCATAGAATGGGCAAATGGTTTTAGATACCCTAATGCTTGCCGCTTAAAGTTAACATTCAAGACATTGCTGGTGCAGCAGCCTACACAACCTGATCACATCATCGTCTTATAACTTAGCACGCAACTTCGTCCCTCCTTGTCGAATTTCAGCTATACTTAGAGTGAATGCAGATGAGGTAGTATGTTGGGCTGCTTGAGCACAGGAAATCCAGTCATGCTTACCTGTATTTTCTACTGCATGTCTTCTCTAAAGAATTTTCGCATATCTACATGTGTTCCTCCTTAAAATGTGAAACTTGTAATCTTGAAAATAAGACAAGTTACCTGCTATAAACAGGTAATAGGGACCTGATGGTGTAAAAATTCCTTACACTGACGGTGTATATAACTTAAACTCTTCACCAAACCATGAAGTTATCGTAACCCGTGAATTCCCTAATCACCGGATCCCTAAACTACTTCAATCGTAGTAGTATAAATTGTAACATGAAGTCCTCACTATCTCTGATCTATTGAAGTTTCAACCTTGCTTTAGCTAAACTTTTGCACAGCTCATCATCCATTTCCCTGAATATCTTCAGGACACCTTTGACTATACAACTTCCTTCCCTAAAGTTAAAATTTGACCACACAAATAGTAGGTTATTTCTGTTCTTGTGATTGAAGACACTAGAGCTTTCTGTACTGATTTGCTACTATAATCAGGGGCGGAGTTAGGTAGGCGGAAGGGGGTCGCCGAAAATTATAAGGTTAATTTTTTTTCATGTATATATATTAGTTGAATTCCCTCAACTTCTTTGTGTGTTTTATTTTTTATTTTTTGAATCAAAATTCTGGTTCGCCACTGACTATAATCTATCACTATGTCAAAATAATCAAATTCTACACTGATTTTGATTCTTAAAAATATCCACAAGAACTAAAACCCATGAACCAGAAAGTTAAACTAACAAAAAAAGGGTCTTTTCCAGACAAATAAATACATACAAATGATACAATACAGTTAAGCATCTAAAATATAGCTTAAGCAAACAAAACAAGGAACAAAGTATTAAGACAGCTAACCTTCATCTTGTGCAGGATTTCTCTTCCTCCTGTCATGACTGGAATATTTTCACAGAAAAAGTAAAACGTGTTATTACGTAATTTTGAATGATGATATATAAACTATGATATGATAATACAAATATGGGAACAGTAGAGGGTGGGCGATGGGATAAAAATATGTGCAAGTATAAATCACATTGACTAAAGACACATGTGAAGGCTGACTTTTTGATTCACAAACGCGTTCCTTTTTCCCTTTTTTCCTTTATAATAATGTCTCTCTTTAAATCAACGCGTTTTTGCCAACTAGCACCCCACCACCCCCATCTTCGCCCTCGTCTTTCCTCTTTTGCTTTGTCAAAATCCAGTTTTGGTACTGGTAATTGAAAAATAAGGTAAGGTCATAGTCACTATTTTATTTAGAGATAAAAATCTAGGCGAAAATACCCTAGCTGAAACACGAAAAGTTTCAGCATGAATTATGGAGCTTTTGCGTATAAACGTTCAGCATATTATATTGTAACTCCATCACATTATGAAATTCAATATATTATGCTGGAATTCATAAGTAAAAAATTAGAACTCCAACATATTGTGCTGAAAGTTTTCTAGATTTTTAAGGGTGTTTTTATTCAAATTTTGTTTTTATATGAAAAGGTAACTAAATTTCAATTATTTTTTACACTGTAGCTAATCTTCAATTAGCAGTTATAAATCTAGTTGTTTTTAGTTTTTTTTTCACGTTTCTTTCCTATGCTTTTGGTACTTTTAATTAGAGGTTTCGAATTTAAATTTAAAAGTAAATAACTTTTTTATAAGAGTGCTTTACTCTCATTGTAAGGCTAAGCTAACGCAACTTCCAGTTATTCGGATTAGGGGGTTTTCGAATATCCAAGAATAAACAAACAAACCAAAAAAAAATAAATTCTCAACCGTAGTTAAGAGTAAATTGCATATTTTGCAACTAATTTGCTGGGTCGTGCATTTTCCTTTACGTTTTAAATATGTTTGTTGGTATTGGTACCTTAAGTTCGTGCTTCTTATTTTGTGCAACTTTTAAAAAAAAATGTCATATAAAATTTGGATGGTAAATTTCCAAAGCTTAAAAATAGTATATGGTGCAACACAAACAAAAGAAATTATTTATTAAAGGGAGAAAAGGAAATAGTATATCTAATGGACTTAATTTTCACTAACTTTGTTCGTCAGATTCACATTTCAAAGAGAACATACGACAGAATACTGCTATAAAATTAAAGAGCAACGTGTTCTAAAATTCCATTGTTATTTTATATGCCATATGCTAATCATTGTCTTTTCTGTTTAGTATAATGGTACTGATCAGTGGTGGACCCAGAATTTTTCACAAGCGAATTCAATTTAAAATAACGCGAATCAATAGTATAAGCAGTATCGAACATGCCAACATAATTTGGCCACATCTTTGTTAATTTTCTTCTTTCTTTTTTGTCTCTTGTCTTTATAGTATGATGTTAAAATTAAGTCATTTAAAAGGGAGCGCGCTAAACTTTGCAAATTTTGGCATTTTAAAAGTGTAAAAACTATTTCCACTTCATTTTATGTGCAATTTATCTTTTTTTTTTCTTCACAAAACACTCATCTATTTAATTAAACAAATTTACTTTTTCAAAATTTTGTTATACTTTAGCAAGAAAATCATTAAACCAGTTAAAAATTTTATTAACGCCATAAAAAAATTGACAAAATATTAAATTCTTTTGTGTTTATAACTAAGAAGGTATTATTTACAAATAGAGGATAACAAAAAAGAGTTACAATCTCAACTAAATTAGTACTAATAATTAAAGAAAGAGGGATAATACATTAAACCAAATACTTTTGTATAAACCAATAAATTTTTTGAATATAAACTAACAAATGATAAATAATTTCATCAAATATACTTGCATGATTTAGCAAAACTTATGAAATAGAGAACTAAAAATCACTTTGTAGAAAGGTTTAATTTTTTAAAGAAAGACAGTTGATTTCTATTGAATTAGGTTAAAAATAAGAAGAAAAAAATAGAGAAAAGACAAAATTGAAGTAATAATTTTGCAAGTTGGTTGTGTTACTAGTTAGATTGACCGGGAAAGACACGGTAGCTCACAAGACCTATCATTGCACATTTAATGTCGCAAAACAAACAGAAAAGGAAAAATTGCAAAATAAATACTAGGGAGAACATGGGAAAGATCAGAGTCATCTTATCTTGACTACTCCCTAGAAGACAGAACTCTTAACGATGCTTTGAATAGCAATCTTTCGTACCCCATTCAATAGACATGAGTCGAGCACGCGACCTCGTTGAAACTTTGAACCCGCATGACCATCTCTACAGGCGTAGTGTTGCAGTCAAGTGGATTCAAATATAACATTATATACATATTTTAACTGTTTTAAACATAAATTGCTAACGCATACAGTATCATTTTTCAGTAAAGCGGGTTCACATGAACCCGCTTAGTAACACGTGGGTCCGCCCCTGGTACTGATACACCAATAAAATGCTTACAAAAATCATGTATTGTTTTACGTGTAGCAAAAAAAAAATAATAAAATATTTAAAGCACCTACTTTTGGGTGGTAAAAATTACGGAGATGCTTAAAATATTAAAATACTAGAAATGGGTTGCCCGGGCAAAGCCCGGGCCCAACAGACTTGTTCACAAAATATGAAATACATTGATACATTTTACTTTTATTCAATACAAAAAAGTGAAGAAGACACGTAAACTCATATATGACAAAGCGATAAAAGAACGCAAAAAGTAGCATAGGAATGCCAAAACTAAGAGATTTCCTTGAGGAAATATGTTGTCAAAAAAGAGAGGAAGCACACAAAGTATTATACCCTATTATTTCCAAATATTTAATTAATTTGCACAATACTAAAACCATATGCATCAATGACTCAAATTTAGCACTGAAGACATGCTCCAGAATTGGCATCAATTAGCTTCACCATCTGTCTATTTTCCTGCAAAACGTTTAGAAAAGCATATAAATTTTTGGTATTCCTTAAATAATCAACTTTCTTTGGCTAAGCATGCTCGAAAACTTTAAGCATTTATATGCTTGTTTACTATATAGATTCAGTCATTCTTCGAGTATTATGCGGTCCATCATTAGCCGCTGCATAAAATTTCATTTCTTGAAGCTATTAGATTTCATTTCAATTTATTGTCACGTCTCATTGCAGATGTAAGTATCATTTGCGCACCTATATGTTTTCAAGAAGTGCAAGTATTCAAATGTTGCCGATTAGGCATTAATTCCATCATCAATGATACCTGGAACTTTTTCTTATCCTCAATTTCTTCTCCTGTATTTTTACTTTATGCCCCTTTCTATCATTAGATCATGCCTCATAGAGCAGATAAAGTACCATGATAAAACAATTTAAATTTTCACTTGAATTTGCTTACTTTTTTCTCAAGAGTAAGACTGCTGAATATTAGCCATATGTCGAAGATCTGCCGGACAATCATGTCTCTTTGTATAAGAAGCAAGAGCATTGATTTGGTTATCTATTAGATTTTTCTCTTTCTAAAAGTATAAAATACAGTAATATGAAAAAGATCTAACATATATATATATATATATATATATATATATATATATATATATATATATATA